CTATTTATATAATCGCAATCTGCCACCCACAACAACCTAATCACCGGACGAATAGGACGAGCTTGTGGGCCCCAACCTGGTCACCGTCCACAACCTCGAACTGGATGACGCCGGTTCAGGCCTTCCGGTCTAGCTCGGCCTATCCGACGCCGTGGAAGACAGAGGCCGAGGCACGGATCCGACTGTGCAGCACGGTGTACGAACAGCTTGTTGTAGTTAACGGGATTAACTGCGTTGGAAAACGCGATTGTCAGACCATATTGTGCTTCCCAATCTAATCCAAACGCACTTGCGGTGGTTAGAAACACATAACAAAACAACTCTCGCGTGCTTTTAAGATCACATAATGTATAATAAGTATATTAAGTAAGTGCTGAATTGAAAATTTTAATATAAGGTGTAAATTGGTCAAAATATTATAAATATATGAAGAGCCATCAATGGCTGCAAGGCAATTTTTAGTTAAATATATTATTTTAAAATGTAATTTAGAGTCCATTTGAAATATATTTTTAGTTATTTTATGTAATTTAGAGTCCATTTGAAATAATTTTTAGTTATTTTATTTTTCAGATACTAATTATAATTTAATTTAGATATTACTTTTTTTATCACTTTCTTATTATTTTTCAAAAATTTTGCGATTGAGAACTATTATTTCAATCATAATAATTAAGTTACTTTCATCACAATAATTCACAAATAATTTTATAAAATATCTAAAAAAGACCCTTAATTTAAGATTTATTTAAGGCAATTGTAGATTTTTTTTAAATGATTGTGAAGCTGTTATTGAAAAAATAACTTTTTTTAAATTGTTGAGGACATTGTTGATATATTCTTTTTGAAAAAAATGAAATAGTTATTTTCTTAAACCTACTGCATATTAATTAAGGCATGTGTACAACTTTTTTATTGCTTCTTAGGCCTTCTCCAGCCGTTCGGCAAACAGGCGAATGGAGAGCCTCAGACGTCCCAACCGAACTCCATTTTTGCCGCCATTCAGTCGCTGATGACAGTGTTGGCGTCGCACTGTTCACTTTCGTCATTTCTTTCTCTCCACCGAATTCTGCCTGAGAAAGGCACGAAAGAAACGACAATGATTTGGGGGCAAAATGGCGTTCCACTGGAGATGAATCACGACAATTTTTGATTTTACTGCATTTTGCAGTGAAAAATGAGAGTTTCGGTTGGAGATGCCCTTAAAGCTGTTAAAAAACCATCCAAAATGAAGTCTAGGTTTCGTTTTGGATAACTTTTTACTGATTCTTAAAGAAGTTTTTTAGTACAAAATTTAAAATTTTATACTAAAAAGTTATTTTAAGAAGCAGTAAGAAAGACTGAAACAACTTTTTTACTTTTCTTTAAAACAACTTTTTAATACCAAAATTAAAAAAAAAACTAAAATACTGCTTTAGAAAGCAGTAAGAAAGCTAGCTTCATTTAGGATGACTTTCTTACTGCTTATTAAAGTAATTTTATAGTAAAAAATTATAATTTTTTATTAAAAATCTTCACTAAGAAGCAATAATCTGGTTGTGAGAAGCATATTCTCACCATAAAATTTTTTAGAAAAATAGTGAGAAATCATAATTAAAATAGTAGCTAAACAGAACGGTGGAAAAAACCAACTCAAAGAGATTTAATTCACAATAGTAGACTAATTAATTTTAATAAGATAGAAAAAAATAGTTTCTTATAAATACGAATGAAATAAGATATCGTTTATGTTCATATTAATTACTTTTTATATTTCTACATGCACTTTTTTTATAAAAATATTTTATTTTAAAAAAATCTGAATTATTACTTAAATATATATAACACCAAATTTTAGAAAAATGAAAAATATATGTATTAGTTTTTATGCGCGCGTGTGATTTTTTGTATGTGGTAGTTGACTGGTAGCTGGACCCTTTATGTTGGCAATAATTGTATTTGTGATACTTTTTTAGCAATATTATTTTATAGGCTGCTTTCACTTTTTTTTTATAAAAATTTTAAGGGAAATTTTAATTTGGGCATTCTTAGTAGATATTGTATATAATATTATTTGTTGCATGATAAATATGTTGCAAATAACAAAAAAAAAAGTCATTTGAGGTGCTTAGAAATTTTTATCTTCATGTGGATATTTGTAATAAGTGTATTTATTGGGGTGTATGTGGATGACTCAAGTTGAATTTAATGAGAAGAGCCTCTGATCTCTTGATTGATCTTATTTTTCTTGTTGAAGATGTAATAAACATTTTGTGTTGAATTTTGATGCTTACATGGTGATTATTCAAATTGCTTTTGATGAGCATTGTTGATCACACCAATTGTTATTTGCACTCTACGCGATGAATAGGGTCAACATAATAGCATATTGCCTCATAAATAAATATATCGCAGGAACTCTAGACCCACTCATGGAATTTAGCATACTTTAGAAGAGGATAATTAAAAGTATCCTTTATGAGTCTCTCATTCATTTTAGAGAATTCCAGAAAAACGATGATGACTTATTTAACGAAACATCGGAGATTTACATACATACCACTTAATACTATGCTATTTACATATTTAACATCTAAAACTTTAATATTACTTACATACCACCCATAGTTCATTTTCATACCAAATATGAGTGGTAGAAATGAAATATATGAGTGGTAGGAAAGAAATGTAAGTGGTATATTTGATATTAAAATAATATAGGGTGGTATTCATGTAATATTAAAGTTTTAGGTGTTAGATATGTAAATAGAATGTTATAAAGTGGTATGTATGTAAATTTCCCATCAATAAAATTATGAATACAACTATGTGCAAGCTTGTCTCTTAACAGTTGTAGGGAATACCTAACAAAAGATATATCAAACGTGTGTTCAATGTGCATAATGGGTTTATAGTGATCATCATACTCATAAGGGTTAAAAGCCTCATTATATGGATTAATTGCAAGTACTTAAACCCTCTTGAAATAAGATATTGTAGAATTGCATCATTTAGAGATAAAGCCGCTTTGATGTTACGATAAAGAATAAGTTGGTTCCTTTCCCTCAAAGGGATTTCTCTCGAACAAGGTGTCAAAGCTCATCTCTTATGATATCAAAAAAGTGATGTTAATTTAAATCCACCAAAGCTAGTGGAGGATTACAAGTTGTTCAAATAACATAGAAAGGATGAGTTGAACCCATAGTCTTCGAGAGAACATGATGAGGCTATAATGGAGGAGGAGCTACAACATGAGGAGATACTGCTTGAGTTGAATAAATAGGATTATCCCTAAACCAATGCTAAATTTTTTTGTGGAAAAAATCCATCAAAGTGTGATGGTACTTTTTATTTTCCAACCTCTTCTAAGAGTTAAAGTATTTAAACTTGAAGTTCTTTCATCATATATATATGATTCTATAAAGTGAGACTTGGGCGGACTTCACCACCTAGAATATGATATTTTTAATTAAGAGATTGATTGTCACACATTTAAAAAAATATTTGAAGAACCTTGAGAAAATTTCTCACAGATTATGCCGAACTATTATTTGCTAAAAATTTTATGGTGATAGAGAGATTGTATAATATCCTAGCTTTATTCAAATATCAACTTCATATATGGAAGTTATTAGATACGCTATAATTTTTTACATGAAAATTTCAAAAAAGGCAAAAATCTTGAGGTTTGCCACAATTGTAATAATTTACTACAATTATTTGATTTTATGTTATAGGAGTAATAGAAGTTGGGCATCAACAGTAGGACAATTGAAGTTCAACAATAATGTTGGACATTAGTAGTTACAAGACAATGATCGAATGATGAAAGTTAGGCATTGGTGACAGTGAATGCTGATTGTGGTTGTCAGCATTGATAGTTGGAAAATGTGATATTGTTCTTTAACTCTCAACTCACACATGTAGAAAATGACATACTATCTATATCATTTTGATAGGATACTTTGGTAAAACTGGGCATAATCTAAAATATTTTATCAAATGGTCTATATTTACTGCTTCGATCATTGATCACTTATCCAATATTTAAGTTCCTTAATTATTCAGATCAATCAAATGATATTAGGCATGTTGGATTCATCTCATATAGCAACTCAACTTGACTATAAGCAAGTAAAATTTGGAGACTATTTGGTCACTCGATTAATGTCTTAAAATTAAATCCTTGTCGTCGTGCATTAAAATAATTTTTTATGTATATTAAATAGTATTTTAGTTTGCTCGCCTACCTCACTCTCTTAGTCTTGGATTGCCGTAGAAAAAAAGGAGGAGAGGAGAGAGAAAAATTAGAATTTTGGTCGCAGATCCATTTCGTCGCTTTTATGAAAATTGCTCAGATCAGTGTAGGTGACTTTTATCATATTTTTGTTTTCAAAGAATTTTGGTACAGATTCATGATCATACTGATTATCACTATTATAAACTGATTGATTACATGCATATTGCTTCTTTACAGTGATTAGTTTAGTAGTAAAATTTTATTGATTGTTGTGTTTTTTAGTTCATTATATATGGTTTAATGATTTCAAGTCAAAGAATTAGTGAATGTTGATTGTGTTTTGATCTATAAAATCATTATGTTTATATTTATTTTATTGAAAGAAATTAAATAGTCTTAATTATTATTATAAAAAGATTAAAATATAAAATTTTCTAATTTAGATTCTGGAGTGTCGCAAACACTATCCCCAATTACAAAAACGGTGCATCATTTGTAATCAACGACATAAACAATCACAAATATAAGCTTTGAACAATAGTTCGTAATCTAAGCTCCCAAATAATAAATTAAGGTGAATATTTATGTTTGAAGCATGCATCCCTATATATATATTATGTTTATCCATTATTAATATATGTATAGACGGCTCCAAAATGATATTTTAAAATACTACTGTAATAAGATAACATGTGGCCTGGAGCAACTTACCACAAATCACATCCATGTTCTCGTATCCATCTTTAATCTCATCAAAATGACTCCGTGACTTTCTCTCTCTCTCACCTTCTGAATTATTTGAAAGGCAAGAGCAGCATTTCTGTGGCTCTGGTCCTATCTAAAAATGCAGGGAGAGTAAGTCCAATCTCTTTCATCTTACTCAGTTTAGCTTTTGGCATATACTCAACTTCTCATCAGTCCGTTTGGTGCTCTGTGTTGACATATTATGATCTCTCCTGCATTTAGCACACATTGTTAAGTTCTCTTCCTGTGCTGTGTTCTAATTGTGGCATGGAAGCCAATCCTTTTGGAGTTGGAGGGGGCCGAATCTTACAGGGAAACTTTGTCAGAGATTGAGCTTGAATGCTCTGACAATTTTTTTTTTTGGTTCTGTTTGAAGACTTAGAATTGGTGAAGAGAACAAGTGAATTGAAGAAACCAGTTCAGTTTTGAAATGGATAGTTCATGTATTTGTTATTTTGCTTGAGAGAGATGCAAAACGAAATATGCCTTGCTCTGCTGATGATTTGGCTTTGTGGAAGGATTTTCCTAAAGGACTTGGGATCCTCTTATGTGATCAAGATAGAGAATCTGCAGCTGATACTAAAATGAAACTTGAAGCCATGGATTACACGGGTAAGAAAAAAATTCAGCTAAGTTCTTCTTTCTGCTCTCTTTATATTTTTCTAAGTCAACTAGTAAGGTTTTCATCAACGATATGGTATTTAGTCTTCCTTTTCTCTTAAAGTCTAAGCTAAGTTGAACTCTTTCTTTGTTGATTAGTATGAGATTTCAAATGGAATGTTAGGATTTTATTCAAGATTCCCTTCCTTTTGAGGGAGATCCTTCTGCTTGGAGCTCAAATCAGTATAAAAAAAAAGGAAAACAAAAAGAGCTTTGTTTTTTTCTTTTCTTCTATTCTAATAGATCTAAATCTGAGCTCTATTATGTTTCAAGCTCTATTTTCTCTAGAAAAAAATATGATTTTCTGAAGCAAAATATCTTACAGAAGATTTTGTTAAACTTGAGAGCCATTTGATTGCAAGTACAATTTTGCATAGATTGGGAATTTTTTTAGGGGGGATTTATGTCATTTCTAATCCATTAATGTTGGAATATATTTGTTTTAATCATGAAATTTATTTGATTGCCTGTATATCTATTTTGTGTTAAACACTTAGAAATTATTTTACATCTTTTGTTAAAAAAATTCAGGATTAGAGATTTTGAACTATATTTTGATTAGTGATTATGCCTTTTGCTTATCATTGCGCTTAGACTAATTATATAATTAGACTGTACATCAGCAAATAATAAAGTAATCGTTAGGTCATTTCAATTGTGATTTGAAGGCTATGAATTGAAGTTGTGGATGTTAATGCATAATAAGATTGCATGCATCAGTCCTTCTATATTGTTAAAAGCTTCATTATTGAATATTGGAGAAGTTTTTAGTAGAGATAAGTAGTTAAAAATAGACATCTGATTTGAATATGTACAAGAAAGTTTTTAAAATGCACTCACCTGATAGGTAGATAAAATTAGGTGGTGTTTGGCATCACTATATGTTTTTATTTTTTTATTCTTGTTTATATTTTGACATTAAATAAAATATATTTTGTACATGTTACTTTGTTTTGTTTATAGTGTTTTTTAAAATATAGGTTGTTTTTATTTTCATTAAATATCGAATAAGTTAATTTACATGGTTGCAGTAGTAGTTACGACACAGCCCCTAATTGTTGGATTAATTATTTTGTGTGGACGCCGAACACCGTCGGGAGACCAATCAGAATGCATCACATCACCCCTTCGCTCGGTACCGCTGACGGGGCGCATTCTGATTGGTCTCCGGACGGCATTCTGTGTCTGGCCTCCTCACAGAATAATTTCTCCAATTGTTGAAGGACTAGGAGGAAAATGGAAGAGTGCCTTGTTCCAAGATCTTACAGATCATTTTTGGGACAGGTTGTAAACACTTGGCAGCATTTTTATCCAGAGACAGCAATGGAGCTTTGCAATCCACATACAACTCTTGGAAAAATATTTCTTACATCAACCATATTTCTTAATGCGTACACCATTTGAATCATATTTCTTACATCAAGGTTTATTATTATCTGATATTGGTATGCTTACTCTAAGCATAAAATAACGAACTGTGACCTTTTCAGTATACTCATATTGCAAAGAAGAAGATGCAATGGAAGCTGTTTTAAGGAAGGCTGAGAACTACCATATTGCAATTGTTGAGGTAATTTCTTAGTGAAGGAACTAAATCGAGATAGCTAAATAACAATGAGGATTAAACATCTGGCTTTTGAGTATCCCATTTAGCTAACAGCTTATCAGGATTTATCAAGATTTAATAGTTTTCATGCTAAACATTTTTCAGGCTTTAATCCTCTCATGGTTTACTAAATCTGAATATTCAGGATTTACTTCAGATTTACTAAATCTACTTGTAGCCAAACAGCGCCAGTGTACTTTTGTTATTAAAGCTGTATTTGGCAATTCTTTGATGTTTTGTAGGTTGCTGCTATCAATGGTCATGCCAGCTTTAAGTTTCTTGAAATGGTTAAGGACATTCCAACTATAGGTATCACTCCAAAATTTCTTACTGTGGAGGATAACTTACCCTTACTAATAATATGAAATTGGCAATCAAACTTCTATTTTAATCATTTGAATGCTTACCCTTTCAAATTCATTGCCTTGTTTTGTTGCAGTTATTTCAGAAGTTCATTGCTTGAACACTGTGATGAAGTGCATAGCGGTGAGTTCCTGTTGATTGCATTGAATCATCACTAAGAAAGTCTATTTACTTGTGTTCTAAAAGCTTAAGGAAAGAGATGTCTTATGACATCCTGAGCTTGTTCAAGATAGATTTTTATACACTCAACAGCCCAAGATTATGCAGCACTAACATTTTTCTTATTTAGGTTTTGTTTGGGATAGCTTTCATACTGCATTTTAAAACTGTTTTTTAGTTAAAAATTTTAAAATTTTAAAATTTTTTGTACTAAAAAGTTATTTTAGAAAACAAGAAGAAAGCAATCCCAAATGAAGCCTTAAAGTGTATCTGACAACAGCATGGGGCTGTTGGGTGTTGCAAACTGGGTTTGAAAGATATAATCTTTTTTGCTAGTTCTCAAAGTTTCACCTTGGGCTCATATAATAACCGAAAACTAAAGCTAATATTTTTTACGTTTCATGTAAAAATCACAATTTTCCATTTTTTCAGCTCGGTGCAGCAGAATTTCTTCAGAAACCACTATCAGAAGAAAAGCTTAGAAACATATGGCAACATGTTGTCCACAAGGTCATGATCTATTTTCTTTAAGTATTTCATTCATGTAATAAGTTGATAAGTCAAGAGAAAATCCTGAGTGCATTAGTCCTGAACAGGCATTCAATGCAGGGGGAAATGCTATCTCAACTTCATTGAAACCCATTAAAGATGCAGTTGCAACAGTGTTGCAGATTCAGTCCAATTCCAATGAACTTAAAATTGAAATTCCTTCACAACTTTTTGATATGGAGCAAGAGCATGAAGTAATATATGTGAAGGAGAAAGAGAATGATAAATTTTCGGCGCCTTCAACCCCACAACAGATTAAAGGAGAAAGATTGAACGAGGCTGAAACTTTTCTAGATCAACCTGATTGCTCAGAGAAGGATTGTGCAATAGAAGATAAAGAATTATCTGAAACTCCGAAATGCATCCTTTCTGAAACAAAATTCGTCGACAATGCTTGCAATAACATCACTGTTGTAGGAAATAGTGATGAAATTGTTCCTTGCAAACAAGGGACAGCCACAGCTGAAGAAGAATTGAATTCAGCTGAAGGGTCAAAAGCTGATGAGTGTAATTCTGCTAAAGAAATCTCTTTACAGTTCTTATTCACAGAAAATGTAGAAAATGACGATTCCGATTCCGAGAAGCAAACAAAAAAGAAATCATTCGTTCAAAGTAATTCTTGCTTGAATAGAATCAGAGGAAGTAGAAGAAAAATGAAAGTAAGAAGTCTTAGGACCAGACCAAAATCAGCAAAAAACTTTTTCATTCTCTATTGAGAAACTCTTTGCTTTCATATTTACATATGATTAAACAAATTTACTTGACAATTCAGGTAGATTGGACACCAGAGTTGCACAGAAGATTTGTTAAAGCCATTGAGCAACTGGGTATTGATCAAGCCATTCCTTCAAAGATACTTGAGTTGATGAAGGTAGAAGGACTAACAAGACATAATGTAGCCAGCCACTTGCAGGTATGAGTCTGAGACAATAAAAAACCTTATCTTTAAGGAAATGGGTCCTAGTTTCCAAATCTATTTAATGTGATCTGAGACAATATTTATCTTTACTACTCTTATCCTTTTTTCTCTTGGAAGCTTTAACAGTGCATGCCAGAACAATGTAGCCTTAATGCACTTTCCTAAAGCTTACAACACCATTGAAGACCATTAGTAGAAATTTAGGATGGCTCTGAATTTTCCTATATGCAGAAATTTAGGATGCATAAAAGGCATATTTTGCCAAAGGAAGATGATAGAAGATGGCAAGTACACACAGATCCCACACAAAGAGGTTACATGCAGAAACCAATCATGGCCTTCCCTCCTTACCATTCTAACTATATAATTCCACCAAGCCAACCTTACCCAATATGGCCCCATCAAGCTTATCACGTCCCAAATGTTCAGATGTGGAGGCATTCTGGTTTACCAACATGGCATCCACCTCCTGAGAACTGGCAGACCAAGATTTACCCAGAGGTATTTATTAAAATTTCTTCATTTCTTAGTTGTCTTGAGATTTATCATTTCGGTGGCTTTGGATTGATTTCAGCCAAGGCCTGTCAGAAACTTACTGAAAGTTCTGCATTGGATCAATTTTGACCAGTTTTAATGATTCTGACCCAAAAAACATGAAAACTAGTTAAATAGTAGAAACTGTTGAAGCAACTAAATCTTAAACTCAGGCTTGGTTCGAAGCTTGGGATGGCTTTCTTCCTGCTTCTTAAAACAACTTTACTAGAAAGTTGCTTTAAGATGCAATAAAAAAAGCCGTCCCAAACGAAACCTCAATCTAAACCATCAAAACAATATGTTCATCAACCGAAACTCATAAAAAAGATTTATATTTATGACTCTAACATTTTAGAATTAAGCGAAACTCGACGACCAAATCAAAGTAACAAAACCGAAATCATTATGACAGTAACGAAATCGAAACCGAGGGTAAAAACCTTGATTACTATGCTTCTCAACATCATTATATCCTTAAAGCTTTGATGTTTGATTGTTAGAATCTGAAGAACCATGAACTGTTTCAGATTCATGCAGATGCTTGGGGCTGTCCTGTCCTACCACACTATAGTTATGGCTATGGCCAGTTCTACATGCCTCCACAGGTCATTTTCATGAAGAAATGCCATTAAATTTTCATAAATGAAAGGATTCATCTTTTTAATTCTTTGTTCTTGTCTTCATTATGAAGGGTCCAGCCATAAGTAACAGTGGGCAAGATGCCAGCGGTGATAGAATCCTGAAAAGCTCCTATGATCATTGCCCGGTAAATCTATACTTGATATAGCTAATGTACATGGATTTGTAGTTTTCCTGTAATTGCCTGCCTGAGAAAATGCAGTCATCTGTGACTTCGTTTGGGACGGTTTTCTTACTGCTTATTCAAGCAACTTTATAGTAAAAAAATAAAAATTTTTGTAATAGAAAGTTGATTTATGAAGCAGTAAGAAAGCAGTTTGCTATTCTATTTATTTCTTCTGCCTTTCTTCTTCATTCTCTGTATTCTTTTCATAGAAGTAGTTGGTTGTTTGGCTATATCCTGTGGAACATAAATGCCACACCCACATCCATTGGTCTTGACCGACCCCACCTATTTGTCTGATTGGCTTACTCGACTATAATTGTAATTTGCACCTGCAGATTTTGTCAATTATCACACCCTCTTCAAATTGTCTATGTAAAAAAAGAAATGTGCAGGGTTGGAATGGACAATGCATGTGCTCGCTTCATGTGCCATCACATGATAAGCATGCAACCTTACGTGAATAAATCTCCATATAGCAAATGACAAATATAAGATTTATTCATGTAATTTTCAACAAATTAATAATTAGATTATGTGGTTTGATTTGAAAAAAAAAGTGTTGTGAAGTAATTTCTGAGAAGTGAAGGTGTTTATGTTAATTAGGCAGCTTTAAGAATTTTAATTATAATCTCTTTTTTTTGTTTTCTTTTATAGGCTGAGGAGGTTATTGATAAGGTGGTGAAAGAAGCAATGAAGAAGCCATGGCTTCCCCTTCCTCTTGGCCTTAAGCCTCCTTCCACTGAAAAAATCCTAGCAGAGCTCCATAACAAGGGAATTCACACTATTCCTCCTCTACCTCGACGGCGGAGCTAATAATGGCGGCGGCGGTGATGATGATAGGGGCAGCATTAAGCTCCTTCAATGGAGCCTTTGATGTAAATGAAATGGCCAACAATGAGCTTAGATGAAGTGGTCCTCTGTTGTTCTCTTGATTTTTCTCATCAAACAAGTAGAGCCATTTGTCATTTGTGTTCATAATTAGGAAACATAAAAAAAAAAATTTACATCGAGTGATTTCATACATAAAAATTAATTCTTTATGGACTCTTAACTTTTGATATGAAAGCAGCATATATTTAATAGAAGTATGACTAACATGAGGAGGAACAAGACATTAGGAAAGAAAAAAGTAAAAAAAAAAAAAAAACTAAAGATTAGTGCGGTCTTAGTGGGTTGAAGAATCTCATAGTTCTACTTAACCACTATCATTGAACCTCCACCACCTCCTCATCATTATCAAATTGTCGCCATTCAACATCCACCATTACATTTCATATTGAAGTGCTATCATTAGACCGCCGTCCCTGGTCATCCTCATTAGAACATTATTGTTTGACCACCATTATTAGTACAATGCTACTCAATCACCATAATCGAACAATTGTTGTTTGACTATCATCATCGCATCACTGTCTTTGGACCAACGCTGTCTAACCTCTGTCGTTAGATCACCATTATCAGACCAATATTATCAGATCATCATCACTCAAACATTGTCATTCAATCAAAGCCTCTCAAACACCACTATTGATTTTCCATCTTCAGACCTCTACCATCGAATCTCCATAGTTCAACCTTCACCGTCGAACTGCTGCAAGCACGTGATCCACGGTTGATAGATTGTCATCTTAGGATCATATCCATCAAACTGTTGCCATGTGACCATTAGGGCTGCAAGCGAACCAAACGTTCGGCGAGCTACTCGTTGTTTGGTTCGATTAAAGCTCGTTTGCGATCATTTAATTAACAAACAAACAAACTTGAACACTAATGCGTTCGGCTCATTTATGTTCGCGAACAACATCATTTGAAGTTCGTGAACAAGCTTGACATTAAGCTCGATAAGAAGCTCGATTCATGTTCGATTTTGAACTCGTGAATAAGCTCGATAAAAATAATAATATTTGACTATAGAATTAATAAATATATTAATCATTACCTTTGTTACATAGACAATTGCTTTTATTATAAATGTATTTGTCATAGATATGTCATGAACGTGTTTGTTGATAGTTAAAAAATAATGTTCGCGAACAAGCTCGAAACACTAAACGAACGAAACATGAACTGAACATGAACACTCCTAATTTAAATGAACCCAAACATGACACAAACGCTAAGGCTCGAACAAACATGAACCAAACTTGAACAAGCTGATATTAAATGAACACAAACATGAACACTCACATACTCGGCTCGGCTCGGTTCGTTTGCAGCCCTAGTAACCATAGTTGCTCAAACATTTTCTTGCTGCTTTCTAAAAGTGATTTTTAATTAAAAGTTTTTAAACTTTTTTTTTTTTATACAAAAAGCTGTTTAGTAAGAAGGCCATCCTAAACAAAACCTTAATTTTAAATATTTAGTGCCTACTTTTATAATTTTTGTCCCGTTATTGTCACCTACAAACTTTAATGTCTGGTGCACTAAGGTGTGAGGACCAAAAAAAAAAAAAAGGCGTTAGGACCACAACCCCATTTGCGCAGACAATCCATGGATCCTTGGATTATATATTTTGGCTTAAATCCATGGCAGCACGAATTTTGAAAGTGATCCAAGGGTTGCTGATTACCTTTCTCAATAATTTATGTCGTCTATCAACATAGGATAGGTAGATAATAAATGGCTCAGTCTCTTGGACTAGAAAAACTCGGTATTTTTTTGGGATTATTCGGTATTGCTCGGTATAACTCGGTATTTTGTCTTTACATAATGTTATTTTTCGTTATTGTTGGTATTGCTCGGTATTTCTCGTTTTGTGCCTGCGATCTTAGTGCCGGTCGAACGTAGCTCTATGTACGTTCACCGGACCAAATAAAAGCTCATGTGGAACTTTTATTACGTCCTCTGACCGGACGTAGCTCTACGTTCGGTCAGAGAATTGTTACTCGGTATTTGGTCAGTATTGCTAGGTATTGTTTGATAATAACGAGGAATGCCTCTATGTGAAGATCAATACCGAGAAATACCGAGTAATCCCAAAAAATACCGAGTTTTTCTAGAAAAAACTCGGTATTGTTCGGTATTTTGTCTTCACATAATGTTATTTTTCGTTATTGTTGGTATTGCTCGGTATTTCTCGTTTTGTGCCTGCGATCTTAGTGTCGGCCAAACGTAGCTCTACGTACGTTCACCAGACCAAATAAAAGCTCCTTGGATGTGATAGCAATTATCTTTGATAATTTGAAGTTCGATTTGAGATATTATTTTATTTTATTGTTTAAGTTGTTTTCACTTATTTATTTGATTTTTTTTATAAAGTTTATTTTTTAATAATTAAGTTTATTACTATGTGATAGTTATAAATAAATTAAATTAATGTCATGAATATTTGATAAGTTTTATATTGACTATCAACTATTTAACTCAACTTTTTTTTTTATTTTTTTTATTAAGATTTAAGAGCTCATAACATCACTATTAAAAATATATATTATAAATTAGAATTTGTGCTTTAAAGCTAAAATGGGATCTAAAAAAAAAATAAAATGGCGAAATTTTTTTATTTTTATCTTGGCCTTTGAGGGCTATTTATGACATTTTGGTTTCCACTTGGTAGGGGTATTATGGTCTATTTATTACCCAATCAGAGGGAACAGAGCTATGGTATATCACTGAGATTTAGACTTTGGGGACTCCGAAAGACTGATATGGATTTTGTATTTTTTTTAAAATAAAAATAGTTTTTTTTTTTTTATATTTAATGGCCCATATATTTTTATTATTATTTTCTATTGTACCGACCCTCATCTTGCACAAATCTTGATGAAACTCAAAAGCTTTGGAGAGGTGGAGAAAACATTTGGATACCGTCTGGCTTAGATCCGAGGGTTAGGATTGATTACTATTTTTTTTTCCTTAAGAGTTGCATCAATAAGAATAAGTTGTTAGAAAATTATTATTTGTAATTTTTTTAGGGTAAACTATTATGAGAAATAATGTTTAAAATAAGGTGAAGAATTGTTTCTTGATTTATTTGTAAATTAATATTCGAAATTTTTTTAATATTTTTATTGTGTATTTAATATTGATGAAGTAATATCTTATTTTCACAAAAATATCACAAAAAATAAGAGGTTATAATGAATCACTCAAATACATAATAAAAAACTAATTTGATTAGGCACGATCTCAATGCATATTTGAATTGAAACTTTCAAAATAAAATTTAGGATCATATGAATTTTAATTTTAATAAATCTATAATTGAATTGAACGTCACCACGGTTTTTGAGGATGTCACATATGATAGTTAGCGCTACGGCCACTATTATGTGTCTTTACATGATATCTTCATTCCTATCACACTTATAGTTATTGTTATGACCATTATTACATGTATCTACATAATAATTCTATGAAAAAGCGATATTTGATTTATAAATGAAAGGAAAATTTTCATTTTCTTTTTATTAACTAGCAACAAGATTTTAATTATTTTTCTTGTCTTGGTTATATAGGGTAGCAAGAGACATTATTTTTATGAAAAAATCTAAAATGGGGCAAAAAATCGTAGGATTTAGTCTAGTTGAAATGCTTTCATTAGTAAAATAAGAGAATCTTTTTAACCATTAACATTATAAGGGATGTCAAAAATTGACACGACACTAAAACTAAACACAAAATTTTTGGGTTAGCGTCAACCCTTTTGAAAAACGAGTTGGGTTCAAGTCTTGATTTATGAACCGTTTGAAATTTTAGGTCGAATTCGGGTCAACCTGATAATAATTCTAAATGACACACATGTTGTCATTCCATCCTTTTTCTCTTCACCCTTTTTTTCTCAAACACAAACTGCAAAGCCTCGTGCCATATGCTGATACTTTTGCAACAAGTATGTTAACCGAGGCTATAAGGGGCTCCACAGTCGTGGCCTGTTGGATCGGACTTGGGTTGATCAGTGACTGGAAGCAAAGCCACAGAACTTTGAGCCGTCGAGCTCAATGCTAGTTTTTCAGCACATCTTTTTCCCCTTGCATGGGTCTGAGCTGGACTCGAAGGTGATCGATGTTACGAGCAGCGACTTGGAGAGAGCATGTTTCTTGCCAGCGATGTGTTCATCCTTGTCGATTTCTCTCACCTCCCTAATGGACATCACATGGCCTATCGACAACATCTCATGAGGTGAGACCTGCTCTGAAATCTTAAAATCCTTCATAGCCGAGGTGGCGAGTCATGTCGGGGGGGGGAGTTATACTTAGTAACAACTTGGCTTCAATGTTGGTTGGCACTACATGGGTATTGATGTTGTCGGATGGTGCCAAAATTGTTTTAAATGATAGGTGCAGACCTTTTGTGGCGATAGTTTGCATTGGTGTTGGCAACTAGAGCTTATATTCTCTCTTTTCAAAAAATTTTGGGGCCTCAATTTGACCTAAATCTCAATACATATTTGAATGGAAACTTTTAGAATAAAATTTAGGATCATATGAATTCTAATTTTAGTAAATATGTAATTGAATTGAACGTCTCCATGATACTTGAGGGTGTCCTCTCCTAACACATTATAGATATGGTTATGGCCACTATTATGTGTCTTTACATGATATCTTTACTCCTAACACACTATAGTTATTATTATGGCCACTATTACGTGTCTCTACATGATATTTCTATGAAGAAACATTATTTGATTTATAAATGAAAGCAAAAAAATCTCATTTTCATTTTATTAACTAGCTACAAGATTTTAATTATTTTTCTTGCTTTGATTATAAAGGGTAGCAAGAGACATTATTTTTATGGAAAAATCTAAAAAGGGGCAAAAAATCATAGGATTTAGTCTCGTTGAAATGATTTAATTAGTAAAATAAGAGAATCCTTTAAACATAAACATTATTGGGATGTCAAAATTGACATAACACATAAACTTGACTTGAAATCTTCAGGTTAGGATCAACCCGTTAGAAAAATAAGTTGGGTTGAGGCCCTGATTTTTTGTCCGGTTTGAAATTTTTTGTTGGGTTCGGGTCAACCTGATAATCCGATAACAACCCAACACGGCACACGTGTTTGTTTGTTATTGGGTCCAA